AGTTTTATGTTATCAAAGCCACATATAAAGCATTCTATCACCAGCCAACTCATTATAATACTCCGTTCGGTAAGCATGTGTACTGTACTTTTGAAGATCACGCATTTTTGAATGCTGTTGATTTCTACCTTTCCAAGCATCATGAAAAATGAGAAAAGTCAATTTCGGGAGACCGTTCGTAAGTATATGTAATGTTTCAGGAACTTGACTATTATGACAGTTTAACTCTATGATTTGCAGATGTGGCAATCCCTATCATATCTGGATATTTTCAATTAGTGTAAAGATGTAGCTTTTGTAATCCATTTGACATGAGTATAGTGCACAATGAAGTATCATTGAGGAAATCGATTAAGTATTGTTGGTTCGAATTATCATCAAAATTATAATTGAAATGATAATTCAGCTGTAGAGTACGTAAATTAATCATTTTTGATGAGAGCAAACGCAGTTGATATAAATCCAATGGATCATCGATTTTGAGCGAAGTAATTTGATGCAAAGAAATAGTTGATAAGTAAGAGAGAAATTCGTCTTTGATTTGACAACGACTACCAGGCATAAAAATCTGATTAATACATACTAAACGATTGTTCAAAGTCTGCACAGTAGATGGCCAATAACTTTGTCTAGATTTAGAAAAACACCGTTTGTCGTAAGAACAAAAAAGAAATTTATACATACGCTCGAACAATGTTTTTGTCTAAATAGGTAAAAGCACATAAAGATTTCTCAATCGTTGGTACCGTTGAAGCTCGAATAGAACAACCGTTGATTTCTAAAGATAATTCTAGTTCGATTGGTACGGGTCCTTTCAGTTGTCGAAACGTATCTAACAAGATGACACTTGTGTCCGATAATACTATCGTAGTTTTCACACACCATCTAACATTCAACACATATGACCATTGTTGGCTAAGCATAGATAGTAACTTGCGAACAATATAGGGTCCAGTTACCATCCCTACTAATGTGAAGTTCGTCAGCGAAAATAAAACATCACGATCAAATAATCCATCAGGTAGTTCCATAATATGCATAGCATATTTCAACCTTATTTTAAGACGCCGTAGATTGGGAACCAGACATTTATCAATACTTGAGATTCGACTTAAATAGATTAACAAAAAAAACTTTTTGCAATAATCATAAATACATAATAATGTTGCTGAAACATACTCTTTTCCATCATTCGTCTACACCATATCATACCGCATCGGTGTTCAGTTTACGTACAATATTTTCTATTTCTATACTCAAAATACTTTTCTCTTGATGATGTAGAAACTATAGAAATTTTTTAAAATTTAGTACACAATAATTTGCTATCCCATCAATCATACATATCAGATTCATGAAAGAACGAAGTTCCTATTCAACTCAACTTCTTTGGAAAGAGAATGATTCAATATTGCAGCTTATTTTGCAATATGTTCTGGCATTTCCTTTGAAGCTAATCGATTTTTATTTGAAAGTAACTTTAAAGCATTTTATATTCAGTTATAATCTGTTCCATTTATATCTTGAGTTTGAAATATATGTTAATTGATGCACTTAAGACGAAAAAAAGAGCTAAAGAAACAAATGAAGCTTTACTTTTGCTTTGATTAGAACGATTGATCATCCTTTGCTAATGAAAAATACTATATACTATGTCTTCATCTCATCGAAAACAAAAGATGTTGCTCATTTTTTTTTTTTTTTTTTTTTTTTTTTTTTTTTTATTACGCTCTAACTGCGATCAGAAAGATCCTTACAGTACAAATAGACGAGAAAAAAGAAAAAGAAGTTGAATAGAGAAAAGAAGAAAAGATAATGGAACAAGAAATAAGAAATACAGAAACGAAAAAACGAACGCCAAAGAAAAAGCACGCAACAGACACCAGCAAAGAGAATGCAAAGAGGTAGAAACCAAACGAACATAGCAGTGGACACAAAAGAACACCAACGATCAGCGAAGGAAGACAATTTCACGATAACGTGCATGGACTGAACGGAATGAAATCTTGACTAGAATGTTTCAGGATATTCTTGGAGAAGTTGAACATCTTCCATCTCAAAGAAGGGAATCGATGAAGAACAAGGAACTGACCTAAGCCAGGAGACAACTTTTTCTAATATGGAGGTGCACTCAACTAATCTTCTAGAGCGCCTAAGACATTTCACGGGAAATTCACCCTGGCGCCACGCCTTCCTGTAAACATTTAGGTTGGCTTTCTCCAGAATCAGCTCCCCGTCAATAGAGTCGGCCAAAGCTACCAAATATTTGTCCCAGTATGAAGAGCATCTGTCTTCCAATGGTTTTTCATTCATCGCATATGCAAAAAAAATGTCATTCCAATGCGACGAGAACATAACTTTACGAAGACATGTGAAATAGAAATGAGAGAGGTCGTTTCTTTGTTTATCAGAGAAGAGTGGGAATAGAGGATAGATCCATGTAAATAATGGCAGAACATATGATGCGAATAGAGCACGTCTTAACTGCGGGGAGGAACAACCGGAGAGTTTAAATGATCTAATCAACGAGACACGTTGTCTTATTTTTATCATTGTTTTTTGGATCATGTTACTCCAGCCTAATTTGGGGGTGATCCAATAACCTAAATACTTAAACTCCTTGGTCCAGTTGATTATCTCTTCATTGTTAAAACCAAAAGATATATTAAATTTCGGTAGACCTATAGCACGAGCACTAAATACTGCCTCCGTTTTGGAGAAGTTTAGCGGTTGCATGGACAAACCTGAATAATATTCAAGCTGATCAAGAAATCGTTTAATTCGTTTTTCCAGGTCTAAACATTGCACAGTAAAACGTTTACCTATTTGCCCAGAAACAATTGCAGCAAGATCATCCGCGAAAAAATGGCTCGAACACCCCGAAAGGAATTGACCCATATCGCAATGATATGTTATAAACAAAGTAGGAGTTAGTATTCCGCCTTGAGGGCCACCTTTTTCTATCGAGAACCAACGCGATTTTCTACCATTGATTTCTATAAAACCACGTCTATTTCGAAGCCAAGCATCTATCCAGGCAAGATATGACGGAGGAATACCTAATCTACGTAATTTTCCTATGCACCCGGTGAACCAGAGTTGGTCAAAAGCCGACTTGTAATCAACGAAAACGGTGCAAACAGGAGCACTATTCGCCATTAAACTATATATATCTTCTAGGAATAGTAATAAGCGCGTTTGTAATCTAAAGCTGTCTCTAAATCCTGATTGACTGTCAGGAAGTATACCTCTTCTGTCTAAAACATCTTTAAAACGTGTAAGAAATAGTTTCTCACCAACTTTCTGAAAGGAATCGAGTAGTGATATTGGCCGCGTTGCGGAAGGAGAGCAGATAGACTCTTTTTTAGCTAGGAGGATTATTCGAGTGTCTTTCCAGGCCAAAGGTAGGATAGTTTTTTGGAAAGAGAGGTTATAGAGTTGGAGAAGTATTGACCAGTTCGACGAGGCCAGAAAACTAAACATAAAGTTTGAGATTCCATGAGCATCCAAAGATTTCTTCTTTCGTTTTGCCTGTACCGTATCAAGTAATTCATCAATAGAAACTTCAGGAATCTTTTCATCTTCGTTGTCGAATTCGACCACGGGTGCATCAGTATAAGGATGAGGTCTTACGACCTCCTGTTGTTTAAAGAAATCTTCGTAAAAATTGGCAGCAGCTTCGCACATTTCCTCAGGTTTCCTAACGACCCTTCCTAGTGGATCGATAAGTGCGTGGAGGGAGGAGGAAGAGGGTTTAAGATACCGTTTGGTTTTAGACCAGAATGAAACAGCGATCGGAGTGGGTGTATTACGACAGCTAAGCATTGTAGAGAGTTGGAGAGAGCGAAAAGACTCTAATTCTTTTTTCGCAACTTTTCTTAAAACGGAGACTTCATTTTTCAGCACAGAACTTCTGGTTCTTATTTGACGAAAGGATAGAGCTCTTACATAAGACAAAAAAGATCTTAGTTCAGCAGGGATTGCCATGCGATATCTATCGATCGGAAAAGTAATTGTGCAACGAGCCGAAAGAAGATATAGAAACTTAATATAGTCATTATATGCTTCATCGAGGTTACTTTTCTGCCATATCCCCTCCCAGTACGTGTATGTATAGTCAGTAAAAAGTGCAAATACCTTCCAGTGCGTATTTTTACCCAAAACATTTTCCTTTAATCTCGTTGGGATAACTGAGAGAATGGGAAGATGATCGCTCGTTGTGTTGCCTTTGTATGTTTGGATATCAATGTTTACACCACCCGCAAACGCATAATCAATAACTCTATTGGACCGCAGAGAAGTTGGTGTATCCGGTACATATGGGGCTAAATAATTCATATCAGCCCAGCATAACAGTTTATCTGCTTTATTACTATCTTGAAATAGGTCAACATTAAAGTCTCCGTAGAGAACACGTTTTTCTGTAATAAAAGGAGATATATCATCCCACGTCCATGATTTACTCTCGGAGGCATATACTCCAACAATACGAAGATTTTCTTCAGCTTTAATGTCAATCACACAAACATTTGGTAGCTTGCAATCGACTCTATTGACTACTATTCCGCCTCTAACTAAAACTAAGACTCCACCATTACGGTTTTCCCCTTTCTGATAGAAGATCGTATAATTCGAGAATGCTTTTTGACGTAGTGAAATATCAGTTGAACCTGTTTCGAAAAGAATAAGAAGATCAAACTTAAAAGAGGTCGTAAGCAGAAGGATTTCCTGCCATCTCAGATCAAATCCACGCACGTTGAATGATAGAACCTGAAGAGATGAGATAAGAGAAGTATTATCACGAGGTACATAATTTTGCCAAGTAGAAAAACATGAAGATAGAAAAGGAGAACTCTCCCATTCCGACAGAATGTTCAAGAATAAAGTATAGTCAAAATGGGATAAACATTCACTAGCTCTTAACAAAAAATTTTCCCGTTTACATAGTTTTAATGAGGAGGTACAAGAAAAAAAAGGAAAAATGTCAGGTGATAAAGTCATTAATTAAAACGGTGTTTACCTTCTCTTGTTTTTCTCATTTGAACAACATAACGTTCTAATCTACATTTTAAATCGGCATCAAGTGTGTTGCCTTTTTTGTCCTGGTTCTGTAAAGCCATCCACGAGAATACATCTTCCAACATTGGGATAAACAATTTAGTAAAAAAATTTTCATGACGTTGAAGTAACATATGATGATTAAGTAAATCTTTTTTAAATTCTTGATCATTAGCTGATAATGTATCAATTTGCTGACTAACATGAGTATCTTGTTTGGCTTTTTCGACCATAAATTTTTCAAATTTATCGTGTTTTAATGTTAAACTTGCAAGATGATCTTTGACATCGTTTATTTTAACAATAAGATCATCAAGTTTAGACATCATCGGGTTATTCAATTGTGCTTGAGTAGATGGAAGTGGAGGAAAATTTAATGGATTAAAACAATAATTATTATTATTATTATTTGGTGTTACAGCTGTTGGATTAGTATCAGAAGACAAAAGCTTCCTAGTGAGTTCGGCTCTAAACGATTTGATGACCGGGCACTTCATCGAGTTGGATAGATGATTACCCTGACAATGTTTACAAACAGGACTAGCTGAACATTGATGAGATTTGAGATCAGGAAAAGCTTGAGCACAATTTTTACACGTTTCATCTTGCTCAGAACATTGCTTGCGGAAATGACCAATTCCGCTACATTTTGAGCAGATTAAAACTTGTGCCGGAGAGAGAAATTCAGTAATTTCATAGGAGATATAATTTATCATTAATTTTTTAGCATCAAGTAGATCTTGACGAGCAGAAACAGATGAAAGTTCTAGTTTAACCATATGGATAATATTACCGAATTTATTTTTCATACGAATTACATTAATTACTTCAGGGATCATGGATTTTACATCATTTGTAAACTCCTCGAAATCAATTCGAATATTGACGTTTTTGATAATGACTGAAAGCTGAGGAGGAATTGATGGTCGAGAAGGAAACATATAATCTTCACCAGCAATTTTTAATGGCCACTTAGTTTCATCATGTAATGAAGCAAAAGAAATAGAGTCCTTAACATAAAGAAGAATATCCATATCATCATCAACACATTTTACCTTGGATGAACGACAATTGAGAATTTCAATGTCGACCTGATGCATGTACTTGAAATGGTTCACCACGTCTTCTTTAAATTTATTTAAAGTAACTTGATTTGATTTAAAGCGTATAATATAAGGCGGGAACGGGAATCTTGATGTTGCATAACGAGCAGCGGCTGTTGTTACATTTTGTTGATCTGGTGGACCACGTTGATTGTTAATGTTGTTAGAATTCGTGATAGTACGTGAAGAAATAAATCGATTTGTATTTGATGGTGATTTATTTGGTGTAACAGACAAATTTTGTTGATGATGAAGTCGTTGACGATTAAATAGATCAATTTGTTTTTTTTTTTTGATGAGTTATAATTTGAAAATCATCTTCATCAGGGTCACTTGATGGTGAACCACGTTTACTACGAGCAGGAGAATTAATCATAGTTGAATTTGACATCAGTGGTGGTGGAGGACGTTGTTGTCGATGGTCTGAATCATTAATACAATGAACAATGGATTGTGAATCATCATGTGCAACTGGACAAAGACGTTTATTATTCAAACATGATTTCGACGATTGATCGGTTAGATTATCAATGGAATAACATTTTTGCTGGTGAATATTATGAACCATATTTTTATTAGAATGATAATTAGTCATAAAATGACGAAATTATCAAAATTGAGGAAGGAAAAAGGAAAAAAAAAAGACAAAGAAAATGTCACTCGCTTAACGCGTGATAATTCAGTAATATATGTATATGAGAAGAAAAGGAAAGAAAGTACGTCCGATCAGTAAATAGATAAACGAACGAATGAAAAGATGTTGCTCATTTCTTATTACATTCATCAATTTATATATGCACGCACAATTTCATATATTTAGCTGATTCCAATAAATCTTCTCTTATTTATTGAGTTCTTTCAAACACTGAAATAACTTATTCTCAACTTCTCAAATTTCCATCTCACCATTAAACACTTTATGAACATTTAAAATACAAATTAGTGAAAAAGGATATAATCAATTCAGAAATGATTGAATACATTTACAATTTTCATATTTTTTACTTTGAGTTCAAAACAAGAAAGCTACTTGTTATCACTATTCATTAGTGGATGTTTATTAGGTAACCAAGGAGCAGTCAGACTAAAGTTGAGCTCTTGCAATTGTGGATGATGTTCAAGTATATGTTTAAGAAAGGTTAGTGAACATTCTCGAAGTACAATTGATTGTAAGTTCAAAAGTCTTGTTTCAATCGCCATGAAAGCTTGATTAAGTGGTAGAACTATTTCACTATCTAGAGTCTTGTATATGCACCGTCGGAAACGAAGATGACATAGACGTAACAAAGGAAATAAGTGAAATATTCGTTCATAATATGCACCTTCAGATACACCTTCAAATGTATAAGCAGCACGATAATAAGTTGGAAAATGCAAGCTAAACATGATAAGAGAAGTGTTAGATGAGAATGCGTTGAGTATCAATTCAAATGAAGAACGTTTAATGTCAATTAAAGGTAAATAATGAAGATTGATGAATGTAGATAAATGTTCAGTTAATCGTAATCCATTATCAATAGCTAATGTATCTGATACACATAACGGGAAAAGACGGTTACATACGTTCGATTGTGATAAATATGTGTAATAGAATTCCGTGACTGCTATACTCATTCCATTTAGACCCAAGTAAACAGGCATAAGTGGCATATCATTAAAAATAGCAGCAAACCGTGAATTGAGATTAGAAAAAATATTGAATACTTCATGAAAGTGAAAATAAATAAATATTTTATAGAACAACTCGACAGAGAGATGCTCGAATGTTGTTGTTGTCATAGTTTGTCTTAATATCAAGCTATTGAATATTGTATATAATTCTTATTTACTAGCTTCACAAACAATAATAAAAGGCGGTAGTGTTGTTCCTGACGGCCATCATCGCGATAAAACAACGGTGTTATTGCTATTCGTCAACTTCATAGGTCAACGTATAGACAATTTATGTTATCTTTTTGTTGGATCATTCTTCTCTCAAGAACGTTTGTAAGAGTTGAAAATGAAATTTTTTACGATAATCATTAATTATCCTTTTTAATTCAAGTGATCATTATTTTTTATACCATACATCGTCCTTTTAGTTTATATGATTATGTTTTTGAATGGCTAAGATGACGAAAAATGTAAGACATTAAAATTCTAATACTCTTCAATGAACTCTGTACATAACTTTGACAGCATGTTGGTCAAAAAGAATATTTGTTACAGCATAGCAAATAGTCAAAGATGTATCTTTGATTCGATATAATATGAGATAATAAATGTGGCAGATTTAATTGTCTGTTTTTTTCTAGTTAGATCAAATCAAAATAATTCATTCTGATATCATGAGATGGAAAATTTTGCATGAATTTCATTTATGTTCTTTTTACAATGAATATTTGACTTTGTTATGCTCTATTAAACTCAAAATACTACGTTCGTCAAAATCAAAATTTGATAATATTGCATTTTAATCTTCCATACAATTACATTAGATTTTAAATAATTAAAGAGGTACAAGTTTTTTGATATATATTTAATGATGTAATATACTGTTTCAATACAAAATGCACAGATCGCTATAAGACCTCAAAATTCTGATCAGTATCAAAATGGGTTGTTATTGAGAATATAAAATCCACATAAAAATTGAATAGCAACAAAATAAAATGAAAGAATAACCTAATATATCCCGTTTATCGCTCTCGCTGTCTTGAAGTATCTTGTTATGATATTAAAATCTACATTAGAAATGTATTCATATTTACTTAACATTCAACATATTAATCTACCAATCGAAGTAAATCAGCTACAAAACCGATCAAATCATGTGCAATCACATCTAATTAAATCTAAATTTAAAAATGATATAAATCAGTAAATGTCTAAAAGTCATCTCTTTTCATTTCTAATTATGTCACCTTAACTAGAAACGAAATTCATCTCAAATATCAGTCTTTTCTCATGAGACAGATTTTCTCTTTGTTTCAGGCTTACTAGGACTCTTGATAACGACTTCAGAGGGTTTGGTCAGATCGACATTTATGTTTGAATGTAAACTCTAGATGCGATCACCCTAACATAAAAATTTCTACATTCTGAAAATGCACACGATACACAGTGGACTGAGAAACGAAACGTAGGTTGATGTATCATATCGTAAGAAGGTACTCGTATCGTCAAAATATGCCGTTATAATGTTTCGGGAACAAGAGAACCGAATAATGTGAACTTTTATACTCAATACACGAATGATTTCACCCGACTCATGACTTGTGATATTAAAATAAGGTAATGACGATAGGTTCTAACGCAGAACGATTAATGTTTTTATAAAATAATTTATATTCATATTGCCGAGCACATATCGATAAGTATAAGAAAACATCAAATATTGAGTCATCAAATACAAAAGAAAAAACAGATACGCAGTTTAACTTGGAAAGAGGAACATGTTCTTTCCAATTGACTCCAGTTGTGTTGTTCACTCGCATCCATATGAGAGAAAGAAAAACAAGATAGGACTAGTAAAGATAGCTAAAGGAGCAGAAGTAATTGAAACGATAAACTGGTATAATTTCAATTTCTTGTGAACCTATGTTTCTTATTCAGTATATTTTAAAAACAACAATCGAAATTCGGGATTGATGGCAAATACAACTGGTAGTCTTAATGGAGTTGCTGTTGCAACTACAACGCTTAAATTAAAAAAAAGGTTACATCAAATGAATGATGAATATGACTCAAGTAACAATGATGACATCAAGGGAGACCAGATTTCTCTTCTATGGTGTGATGGTCATACGGATGATGAATCATTTGACAACGACATTCTATATACTAAAACAATGTTACACGACATCAGTAATTCGGTATTTTGTTGCTCGAATGAAACAGAATGTCTAACATATTTAACTACAGTATTAAAAAATGAAACAATTATTTTGATTATTTCTGGTGCTCTTGCATCTAAAACATTGTTAGATGCATCAAAGAAAATTCGTCGTCTTGATACAATTTTCATTTTTTGTATGGAAAAACAGAAATATGAATTTCTTCTGCAACATTCAAAAGTGGCTAGTATTCATGATAAACAGGAAAGTTTAAAATATAGTATTTTGAAAACCATTCGAGCGATTGAACGGCAAACGGCTATTTTACAAATGTACGATCCAATTAAACAACGATTAGCACGTAATTTAGATCGTGAAACTGGGTCATTCATTTGGCTTCAATTAATTAAAGAAGCCATACAAAAAATGTCTGCACGAATAACAGATTCGAATGGAAAACAAACAATGTTACATCAATGTCGAGAATATTATCGAAATAATGAAAAAGAATTAAAGAATATTGATGAATTCGAACGAACATATAGTGCAGACCAAGCAATCACATGGTATACAAAAGATAGTTTTATTTATAAAATGATCAATAAAGCTCTTCGTACAGAAGATGTCGAAGTATTGTACACATTTCGTTTTTATATTATGGATCTTTGTGCATCTCTTGTTGAAAACAGTAAATTACTTCGACAATATACAATGACAGCTTCTTTCACAGTCTATCGTGGTATGAAACAATCTTATGAAGAAATCAAACGTTTCAAAGATAGCATTGGACAACTTATATGTGCTAATGCATTCTTATCCGCTAGTCGTCTGAAAGAAGTGGCCAGAATTTACGCTGGTCTCGGCAATAATCCTGAGGCAAACAATGATTTAGAATCTGTTATCTTCGAAATCGAAATTGATTTAAATGCAGAACCTCATGTTGTTGTTGCTGATGTATCTTGTTTTAGCTATTTCAAAGACGAAGAAGAAATTCTATTCGATTTAGCAACTGTATTCGAAGTTCAAGCGATGACTTATGATGATCAAGTCAAATTATGGACATGTCATATGAAAACATCAAACAAAGGGTATGGTATAGCACAAGAATATATTGAACTCGAGCGTACAGAAATGAATAAAGAAGATGCAGGCATTTTCTTTGGTATTCTGCTCTTTAAAATGGGTGAATACAGAAAATCGATTATGTATTTAAATCATCTGCGAAAATTAAGACCAGATGATACTTATATTCTGTTCATGTTGGGCAAAAGTCATGGTGTCCTTGATGAAAATGAACAAGCGCTTGATTATTACGAACGAGCCTACAATCTTTCAATGGAAAAAGATCCACCTGATTTAGCACATGCTGCCTTAATTAATACTTTCGCTGGTCTTGTCTATTATTATGAATGCAATTATGATAAAAGTCTTTCAAGTTATGCAGATTCTTTTCATAAATACGAGATTTTAAAAATGACTGAACAGACATCATTCGCTCATACTCTCATAGGACTTGGCTATGTTTATGTAGTTCTCGGTTTCGATAATTCAGCACTCGAACATTTTCAACGTGCATTGCAAATAATTCAACAACAAGCACCATTCGATCTTCCGACTTTGTGTCGTGCTTATCGGCATGTGGCAGCTGGATTCTGTCGAATAGGTGATTATGATCAAGCATTGAATATGATGAAAGTATCATTAGAAATTGGAGAACGAATTTTTATTCGAAAAAGTCTTGCATTTGGTGTTATTTTCGAAGTACTCGGCAGAATTCTCTATAAGAAAGGCGAATATGAACAAGCACTTACATGCTATCTTGATGCTCTTGAAATTGATCGATGTACGATCTCACAAGAAAATAGTCATGATATGGTTTTACTTTATAATTATATTGGTAAGATTTTTTATCGAAACAATAAGTATAATGAATCTAATGAACAATACGATAAAGCATTAGCAATATTGACAGCAATACTTACAACCGATCATATTAAAACTGCTTATACATTAAGGAATAAAAGTGAAGTACTCTTGGCTCAATGTGATTTTGATAATGCTGAAGATTATCTAAATCGATCGCGTAAGTCGAACGTGTTTTGATTGCCACTTAGAAGTTATGATTCATCAAATAGCTTCGATGAATGAATATTTCAACACTTCGATTCATCTGAAATAGGTTTCGGTCTACAAAAAATCGAAGTTTGAAGATGAGAATTTCATAAGACTGGCATTCAGCGAAACATGTTGCGGGTGTGTGCGTGTAGCGGAGGTGCGGGTATCAGTATGGGTGTGAAACTTCAATTCATTCCATTCCACATCCACACCCACCAACGACGTGAAGCACTCACCGAGCGTGATGAGCAAGAAGAAGAAGATTTGACTGAATTTCTTTAAGGATTGTCCATTCTCAAAATCCAAAACTCGCAAAGACAAGAATGAATGAATTACTTCTACTCCCACTTATTTTCACCTTTTCCTTTTCCTCCATCATTCAATGTCTATGAATATTATTCTGATTTTAATCTTGTTGATAATATTTTTGATTGTCTAAAACATAGATTTTATTACTTTTTTTTCGCAAATTGCATAAAAGAGCTTTCATTATATTATTTTCTCGTTGATTTCTCATTTTCCTGACTCTGCTTTTCACCAAGATATTTTTCGCTAATTTGCTTTTCGCCGATTTATGATGCCTAATGGTTTGCGTGTTTACTGCGTTATTAGTGATAAAGCAATGAACAAGCCCTTTTTCTTCATAGTTCAAATGTATGAACGAATTTTTATTCATCGAGAACATAGAGAAAAGGCCAAATGCAATTATTTAATGGGCCGTCTCTGCGTGGCACGCGGTGATGAAGACAAGGCGCTACATCATTTTCGCGCAGCTTATGAAACATGGTCCAGAACACTAGTAGCACGGCATCCCGAACGGAACATGTGTCTAGAAGCTATAGGTAAACTTCGTTGGAGACAAATTCGTTGCTGGATGAAAAAGCGAAAGATTCAGAGTGACTGACCTATCTTCGTTGGCGATTGAGAACATTTTGCATGATCCTATATATTTTATTATAATAATACATTACTCTTGAATAAATTTCAGCATTACACTGCACAAATTAAAGCTGGATAATTCCAGTTGACTTAATCAAATAGCATGCGTAGAATTGTCAAAGAGATACAATTAGATTACTCACAGCGTTTGGTATTTCCTACTGATGATTTGTTCAATATTTTGATTTGGAAGAAACCTGTTACGTATAAAAGGCTCCCTTTCAAATTCAGTCTCTTTCGTTTAAACATCCGACAGGTCACTATTATTTTCAGACTCACCTCTTATGCAAAACGAAATGGCATACGCAAAAATTTTCGAAAAGGAAAGGCATATCATAAGCAAAATATTGTTACATAGAGAAAATTCTTTTGTCCGCGTCTCTAGGTTCTCTGTTAGTGCATCATTGCTACAACTATACTTTCGTTTAGTTGCAACATAGCAAAACGACTTCACCTAGAATCACTTGGAAGATCCTCTCGCTGAATTACTCAAAAAAAATTATATTCAGAGTGCTCAAGTTGTTTTATCGTGAGATAAATTATCATACTCAAGAGGTCGATGCTGACTGATTGAAAAATGTCTTTATGCGGTCTGATACGGATAGATCGACTCGAATCTATTTTGAAATTGATTATATATGGAAATATGAAAAACACTCAGTATCACGTTGCTGTTGAACAATAACTGTTTATAATACTGCACTGCATACAATAGATCTAAAATAATAAATGTGGACATTGATGTATGGGTGTGGGTGTGGGTGTGGGTGTGGGTGTGGGTGTGGGTGTGGGTATGGGTGTGGGTG